AGTTGAGTTATCAGGTTTGATGTACTGGGCTGATAAATCACCTCATGGTACCAAATTTATTTGTATTAACCTAATTTCTGTCTCACATACATCAAATCACATTCATTACTAAATCTTGATTAATTCGAGGTCGCTTTAAGTTTACAAGATGTTTAACGAACTTGGCTTAAACTTATATTAGCTGGCTATACTTTTAGGCTTTATGAGCCAGTGTCTTAAGAGTATTAATTAAAGAATTAAAAATAAAAGTTTTTATTAAAACATTATTGTAATATATTTTTATCATAAAATTTACCGTATAGATAACATAAATTTTAATTAAAGATATTAATTAAAGAGTCTTGAATGGTATTATGCGTACCAAGTTCATCAATTTGTTATCAACTTGATATTTCACATCAAATGGCATTCATTACTTCACAAATGACCCACCATTTGAATCAAGTGATTGGAATTACAATTCACGCGCGTTAGGCATGGCTAGGTCATAACATGCTTAATAAGACATGAATGGGGAAACAAAAACTAATTCTTCATTCGAGTTACGTTCAGTTTAAAGTTTACATGCAACTCATATTTAATCAACTAAGCTTAAATTTATACTCTCTGAGCTTTTCGGTTTGATGTGCTAGGCTGATAAATCGTGTCATGCGTGCCAAATTTATCATTCGTTATCAACTTAATTTCTATCTCACTTCAAATCACATTCATTTCCTCATCCACCACTTGAAAAAAGTGATTGGAACCATGTCTTAATGATAAAAGAAATTATTTATTGACAAAAGATATTAATATGAATATTAAAATTGTATATTAATATTTGATAGATGTGTTTATATTGTTAATTTATACTCATTTTACTTTTGGAGGATTGCCTCTAGCAATAAATACAAAATACTTTGTTCTAAAGAAAAAAAGCACCACCCAACTCATCCAAACCTAGTTGAGAGAACCCCTTTCTTATCCACCCTTGATTTGATTTTTTATTATAATGTGGTGTAAAACAAAACACTATGGAGTCTAAGTCAATATTTATGTGCTATTGAGTCTTATATGCTTGAAGTGCATGGCCAATTTAATGCCATTAGCATTGAACATAACCGTTTTAAGGGATTTTCAAAACCAAACTACATGTAATCAAAATTCAAAACAAATTGAGTTGAAAAAATAAAAAATAAAAATAAATTTAATCAATTTCAAATTCAAATTTTAAAATTAATCTAATTATTTTGAAATTGTGTGTATATAATTTTATATTATGTACGATATTAGATTAACAGAACTGCTGCATAGTATATATATATATATATATATGGATAAAATTTTCTTATACTGGTGGAAGTAAAAAACTCTTACACTAAATTTGACATTTTTATTTAACTTACATTTAACAAATTATAATTTATTACTTCACTCGCTGTTAGAGTACGGCGAGTAAGAATATTTAGATTTACACTAAGTACAAAAACATCATTCTCATGTATATATATAAATTAATGGTTAATGTGGAAAGATAATTATACACTATTCAATTAAGAATATAAAACTGATTTCAATGAAACTAGCATATGTGAATTCGTAGAATTCGTGAGTATTACTTTCATAATAATTAGCATTTTCGTTAGATTAATATCTATAATTTAAGGACTAAAAAAATAAAATGAAAAATTAATGTGTATTAGTAAGAAAAGGTTTATTTAAATAGGTTAAACACTCTTTTTTTATTATTTAATTAGTTCTCTTAAATTTAGACATATATTATGAAGTTCAAAATTAATTTAGAATTATATTTTGAAATTAAATTTTTTTATATATATCTTAGTAAATTTGTTTGAAGTTATGTTTATTTTGATGAATTAATTTAAATTTGTATTGATGTATTTCAATAAATTTGTTGAATATACATAAACAATTATCAAAATTTAAAAAAAAAAATCCAAACTAATATATAATCTTAATTATAATAATTTAAATTATATTTACAAATAAATTAATTAAATTCTATTATAGAAGAAAATGTTTGTTCCTAATGTACGTCAAAGCAGTCAACTTTGGGTGGACAGCATGTTTCTTAATCAGATAAACATGATGATACCAATGTTTAGGGATTTAAGTGATGAAGTTTCATTTTCTTTTCTTTTCTTTTTAAACAAGGTCTCTTGTGCTAGTTTTATTAAAAAGGAAAAAAAAAATTAAGTGCTAACATAATTTTACATATTTAAATAGGTGAATTAATTAACTATAAACAGTTCCTTTGTGACTTCACTGAGCTGAAAGAAAGTCAGATGATGGAAGTGGTGCCTGGCAAAAACAATCCATTGGTTTGTGTTAGGCAATTAGTATAGTACCCTCATGCTGTTGTCTACTCTTGCATTGTGTTCTGAACTTTGTTTTGGGTTAGGACATTCCCAATACTCTATTTAATGAAGTTTTTTTGGCTTAAAAATAGTAATTTATCTTCTTGATTAAGGAGTTGTTTGAGAAAGAGAGAGGAAAGAGAAAACAAAATTTATATTTTAAATAAATATATTTAAAATTAATATTTAAAAAAATATATTAAAAAATTTAATATATTTGTTATCATAAATAATATATTTTTTAATTTAAAATTAAAAAATATATTCTCTCTTCTCTTCCGCTTTAAAAACTTCTTCCTAAACATACTCTAAATATTTTTAAAAAGTAAATTAAAAGACGAAAATTGACTCTTTAAGGCAGGGATATGTACTCATGTTGTGAAGTAATTTATTTTTTATTTTCTATTTTTGCATTCCAGACATTAAAATTGATGAGATCGTGTAATGCTTCCAGCCTCAAGCTTTGTCTATATTCTAATTATAGCAAAGAACTGGATTTTGTGGTTTTCGCCATTCCATTCATCGATCCAAATAAATGAGATGGGGTAGGGCTGACACTACATACTTTGTCCATATTTTCTTTCAGAAACACTTTCACATAATATATTATTTCTAATACACTTTTTATTTTTAATTAAAATTTATCAAAAACTAAAAAATATGAAAAAAAACATTTTTAACACATTTTTATTATTGATTTAAATGTATTGAAAACAAAAAAAAATGAGAAAAAAATTATTTTAAAAATGAAAAAAAAGTAAAATTCACTTAATTTTTATAATTTTTAATAAATTTTAATTAATAATAAAAAATATGATTAAAAAAGTGTAACAGAGAGTGTATTCCTAGTAAGAATATTTTACTAACCATGTAACTAAACAACAAAGAAAAATTATATAAAGTCAATTTAAATTTTTAAGTGTAAGAATGATTCACCTATTTTATTTAATCTATGCAAATGATAATTTTTATACATACGCACAATTGTGTGAATTTATTAGAATGCACTTTTATACTGGTTAGAATTATTATATAACTTTTATTTATCATATATTTTAATTGGTTTACGGTGTAAATCCTTTTGTATTAATTAAAAATACTTTAACATTAATTCTTGTAGTATAAAATTATCAATTAAATTTTTACATATAATTTGTAAATATAAATTTTTAAACGATATTGTTTTTAAAAGCATTTTCAAACTAAAGTATTTTAAGCATTAGTTCACCTTCTTTTGATATTAAGTGATTTTTAAGATTGAATATTTTTTTTTATTTTTATGTTTGTTTTTTCGTTAATTTTATCTCTTTATTTCAGTTAGTATATTTTGATTTATTTTAAAAATTGATTTGTATTTAATTATATTCATATAATGACCCAAAAAATCACTAAGAACTTAATTTAAGGAGCTTTACCAATCGGTTCTTTTGTGGACCGCACCTTATACACATTCTTTGAACTTTGCTCAATTAAAACTCACCAGCACCTCTGATTATTTGGTCTGCTTAAGGTGTACTAAACTAGGATGAAATAGTCGCTGCCTTATCTGCAACAATGAAGAGGAAAAAAGTCAATACATTTATCAGCTTCTATTTAGTAGTTGTCACATTTTCTCCTGAAAAGAGACAAATCATAGGGTTTTTTTCGATATACAAGAGATAAGGAAATTATATTTGTATAATGTTTATATTGTAAAAAAAAGATAAAAAGATAAGAAAGAAAAATATATAATAAAATGGTTCATGTGATGGAAAAAAGATTAAAAAAAATGTTATCTGAAATATAATTTTAACAAAATAAAAAATTGTTAATTTAACAACGTATTTTTTATTTATGTCGTGAAAGAAAGAATGATAAAAAATATTTCCACTCATAGATACTCTTACAAATTATCCACAACAAGATGAGAGTTTGATATTTATTAAATAAATATGGATATCATAATGCCTAACTTGCAAACACTCGCCTATTTATAGAATTTATTTATTTATTTAAATATAGTAATGAAATTTTTATTATTTTAAGATGAGATAAAATTGTTATTTTTCATTATTTTACAAAGGAAATTATAATAAATAAACACATCACAATAAAAGTTACCATCATCATTATTTATATAATAATTTTTTCGTAAATTAATTATTTAAAAATATATAAATAAATTTAACATATTATTTTAATTTTATAAAAAATTTAAATTAATAAATAATATACAACAGTTTTTTATGATTTTTAAAATGTTAAATATTTTTAAATACTTATTTTCTGTATAAATATTTGCTAGTACAAACAGATATGAGTATGGGAGAAATACTACCCGATTTACTGCTAACATTACCAAATTTATTTATTTATTTATTAGAGTAAGTTTGAATGAGGAATAAAATAAAGATAAAACATAGAAACATAAAAAGTAAAATAAAAATAGAGTAAAAAACTAATAATAAAATTGTCATATTGCTTTGAATTCAAAGTAATTTTCACATGAAAACTATAGATGAAATGTAATTCAAAGTAATTTTAGCTTGAAAACTATGGATGAAACGTCAATTAAGCTAACAACACATGGCCCGACCTATGTGACATTTTGCATATTCCACTAGCCTACTTATAGACCGACTCCTAAATTGGCAAGGCATCCATTCATATGCTCTCTTCCCTCTGTCTAGCTTTAGCTTTTCCATCACATAAAAAAAGTTTTCCCTTAATTCATGTTTGATCCTTAAACAGAGGGAATTGTTCCTTATTCTCCTAGCCCTTTCAATACTCAAACTTCTCAATAACATCTACTGTTTTATTTTCAAGAATTGTACTGTCTTGTCTTCATCATTTTCTTTTTCTTTTTTCATTTTGTTCTTGCCTATTCTTCTATTAACAAACAAGTTTTATTTTCTCTGTCATTTACCTACAACTTAATATCATTCAACTATGGTTACCATATCATCCTCCACGAACAGCACCTTCCATGAGTTGCGAACTTTCAACTCAGAGAGCAAAACTCACCTCAGTGATGCCATTTTCTCACTATACTTAAATGACAAAGAAGGGACTGAACCAAGCCAAAAACTTGGTCGTTTTAACAGCAACAAAAAGTCTCCACTTAACCATCCAGAAAAGAAGGAAGAAAATGGAGAAATTGGAGTGTTTGGGGCTGAAAAGTACTTCAATGGAGGAGAAGTTAACACCCCAAGAGCTGCCAACATAGTTGCTACAAGGTACCTTCACCAGAGAGATGAAAACATGGTTGTAGCAACTAGAAAGCACACAATTCAGTATGGAACTCCAAGCATTCTATCTGAATCAACAACTTGCAACAGCCAAAGTGTGTTGTTGCATGGTGGAATGAGGAATTCTTTAAAGAGCAGAAAAGAGAAGGGACAGGCCAAGAGTGTTCTAGCTGGTCTTGGTTTCAAGTGCTCTTGTTCTGATAAAGATTCTGTTGATGCAGGTGAAATCAGTTTTAACAAAACTGCTTCTTATGGTGCAGTTCATGGCAAAACAACACCAAGAAAGCTCATTGATATTGCTGCTCTAGATGCTTCTCATTCAATTAAAGTAAGTAAGCCTAATGCAGAACTTTTGAAAATCAGTAGAGATGTTTACTTCCAGAAGCAAGAGAACACAGAAAAAAACAGTATAGCATTCTCAACCATGAGTCCTGGCTTAGGAAACCAAAACCATGTCAAAATGCAACAACTTACACCAGAGGAAGAAGAGCAACCAAGGAAATCACTAGAGGTGTTTGGCTCCCCAATATTGAGAAACAAGAGAAATTCTTTGAGCTTTGATAAAAGGTTGATAATGCCCGTAAGAGATGCTGCACCTAAAGTGGAAGAGATTGAAGCATGCTACAATGATGCTGCCAGTGATGCAAGTTCAGACTTGTTTGAGATTGAAAGCATCAAAGGAAAAACCAACCCTTTCCTTGCAAGGCAAGCATCAGATGTAGCTTCAAGCTGTGTCAGCCCCACAAATTATGCACCAAGTGAAGCAAGCATAGAGTGGAGTGTGGCCACAGCCAGTGCTGCAGTCATGTCAGATTGTGAAGATCAAATGTCTGAGGAAACCATAAGGAGTCCAATAAAAACATCATTCACTCCCTCAAATGTAAAAGCAAAAGCCAATAAAGAGGTTCAGAGAAGGCGCCCTAGCGTGTTGTTGGGTTGCAAGAGCCACAAAGCTGTTAGAGTTGCTGGTGATGCCTTCATAACCTATGAGAAAACAAGTTCAACCCCACAATTTCGTAATAAGACTAATTCCTCTCAGTTGGCAAGGTTTCCTTCAGAGACAAAACTTGGAAATTTTGGTGCAAGGCATGGACAACATCATGCTTATGCCACACCAACACTGCAGCACTCTCACTCACCACATGCTTCAAAACTACTATACATTTAGGAATATGAAATTTTTTTTGTTTCTTTCTTTTGGTTTGGGAATTTTGTTCAGTTATGTATAAGGATAACGGGAGTGTCAAAGGGAAAGGGAGCATCGGCTTCAAAATCCCATCTCAAAAGTAAGGTTAAGGTGTCTCTTGTGTACTACTTACTACCTATCGCTCATAGTAATCTTCTTGTACTTTTCTGTTGGCTTTGATATCATATATATTTCCATTCGGTATTTGCAGTTTCTGGTTTATCATAATGGGAAGAAAATGGATGCTTTGTAGTGATGCATTTGATTTCATATAAAGAAAGGGATGTGAAAAGTGACCTCGTACCGTGAACACGTACATGAGAAAAATGCCACTCCCTGGGACACAAGCCTATTATTGCATAGCTTTGTTAGTATGCCTTCTGCTGGATCTGATCCTGGGATGAGAACCATGTCATAGTTCATTTAGCATGGATTTGCAACAGTTTTCCTTTTTCACTTTTGAAATATTATATCCACGTGTAAAACAATAGTATACCTTGCCAAATTTCTCACTGTTTTGTCGGCCATTTGAAATAGTACATCCAATCAACAAAGACGACAAAAGGAAATTATAAATTTACATGAAAAAGGCATAGGCACTTGCATTTTTCATTTTTAGCTCTGAATCTGCTGAACTGAAACGCAATATATTCAAGGAGCTCATTTCAGTTATCTGATCATAATAGTCATTTTGTTTACATTTTAATTAAGTATTTTTACATAAATTTCTATCGTTATTTTTACTATAAAATTTATTAAATAAATTATGAAAAGCTTCTTTTAATGAATTATACTGAAAAAGTTATTTAAATATATTAAAAATAATTTTTGAAAATTAAAAATTATTTTCACAAATTCTCCATGAACTCTTTCAAATTCGGCTCTAAAAAATCCAGATAAAAGGTGTTGCAGTATATGTTTATTGGTCTTCCATTGATAATATGAAGACTACAAATGATAAGCATATCGATCATACACCCGTTCAATAGAGAACCTTGATGCATCAAGAATAGAATGTCGTTACAGTGACATGCAACTAACAATAGCGACACCGATATATGAGCACCAAGGAACTTTGTCTACTATATTAAATTCTAAACCACCTCTTAAATAAGGTGGTACCCGTCAAGCTAATAATATATTATTTTTCGTGGCATAGTCAATAACCCTAATAGTACCAATTATGTATCCGACATTGCAAGGCTAACATTGTTCATCTTGTTAGAAATATGTGCATAATTGTTGAATATTGACTAGAGATGATGGCATTAATTTAAGCTCTGATTTAGCCTTCCGTGGAGCTAAACTAACCTCTAAACTGGCAATGGTACAACAGTTGAAAAATACTGACATGAAATGTTTGCCGTGGGGTCTTATTCTAGTATTATATAATATCTTCATTATGAGCCATGAAATTTATGAAGGTATATTTGTCCTACCTATTAAAAGTATAACCACACATTCTTGCTATACATTAAAGGGTTTTGACAGTTGATTTAGATGAATGGCGAGATATTTAATATTATCTTCACTTTATTTATTTATTTTTATAAAAAAAATGTAATTATTTAATTAGAATTAATTATTAAATTGATTAATTTATTTCTTAGTAATTTTTTTTTTTACTTTTATACTACTTAAATAGTACTACTGCTACAGAAAAAAAACTTGACTAAACCCTTATTTTAGTCCTAAAAAAGTTTGAATGTAGCATTTTAATCTCTAAAAAATTTAAAATATTACGTTAGTCTTTAACTTTCTTCTTTGTCATTCATTTTAGTCTATAATCTCAAACTCTTTTAAGAAACAGTAATAGAAAGCTAACTTGTCACGTTAAGTGTCATGTCAAAAGCTTAGTTGGCAGAAACGACATCATTTTTAGGAGTCTAAGTGTATATGCAGAATCTCACTTAAATTCATCTTCAAAGTTATGTTTGGTAGTGGAATATTTAGAAATTAAAGTTTGTTATAGTGGAAGAATTAAAACCAGATAGAGAATTTGGTAAAAACAAAAAATTTTAATCACCTAGTGAGTCATTTTCTATTTTGAGAACGATGAATCCTAACTTTATACTTTTTGGGATGATGAACAACCTATAACATATTCATTTTCAACAAATTAACCTCTAGCTTAGGAATGCTTTCCACCAAGTCACTAGACAATCTATTGATCTCACCATGTATTCAGAAACTGTAGAATCTTATTTTTGCAAATCAACTTTCAACTATTTAATCTTTGAGTTCTTTTCATTTAGAAGGCCTTTTAGATTGTTCCTATCTTGAACCAGCCCCTTTCTTTTCTTAACTACTATGAACAATTTTGCCCTAAGCATGACAGTCTTCTCCTCTAATTGTTCAAGATTTTGTAGCAAAAAATTTCTTTCTTCAGTTCTACAATTTTTTCAAATGCCATTTTCAACTTAGTTGACAACCAAAAACCTTAACATTGGAAGACTAGAGGCACATAACCTATAACATATATGCTAATATATTTGGGCAAAGGGATGCTTAGATCAAAATTTTGTAGAATGATGCCGTTTTTGACAATTAAAGATATTTTGTCATGTTTAGTTACCAAAACAACGTTGTTTTTGTCAAATAAGCTTATAACATGGTACTTAATGTGCCAAGTTAATTTTTTGTTACTATTTCTTAATATGATATTCGATTAGAGACTAAAATAAATAACGAAAAAGAAAGTTGAAGACTAAACATGACATTTTAAATTTATCAAAAATTAAAATATTAAACTCAAACTCTTTCAAAGACTAAATTAAAAGTTTAGTTGAAAAAACTTATTATCTTATTACATCAATTAAAAACAAGTTTTCATGTAAGTTAAAAATCGATGAAAAATAAATGATATAGTAAGTAGAAACAATTTACTACAGTTAGCAACTGATATAAAAGGTTTCGTTATAACCAATTTAAAAAGTGTATATATTCTTCTACAGCCAAAAAGTGTATATTTTCTTTTTTTAATAAATAAAAAACTTAATATTTGTTTTAGAAAGTGTATGTGTTTATAAATTTTCTTTTTTCTTTTTCCTCTCTTATAACTAGATCTTCATTCATAAATAACTATTTTTGTTTTGTGTGCAGTCTTCTAAATACATGTCAGTGTCGTTGGGAACATCCTGCATACAGGGCCCCCCCCCCCTGCAATTTTGACATTTTCTCCGTACATGAACCACCACAATAATCAACAAGGGGCCTGGAATAGAATACAAATGGTAAATGGATACATCCATGTCCTTGAATCATAACTAGTTGTGGGCTCCAAGATAAAAAGGTACAACAACCATCTTCATAACCTTTGTTTGGACATGATTTAAACTTTCTCAAAATGAACCTGAGACAAAGTATGCAATATCAATCGAAAAATTTGGAAGTAAAAATCACAACCTAAACAATAGAACTATGCAAGATGTGTACCATCAGAAGCCAGCAATGCGAGAGTAAGAGGACACCATTGTAGATACATAGCCAACTCCTCAATTTCTGAAAATCTAAAATCATACATAGTATGGAAAAAAGGTAAAGAAAAATATCGAACACGCGACAGCTCAAGTCTTGACAAGAAAAATAATACTAGCGCAAACACAGATTGTCAAACTAAAAGGTGAAAAAGAATGTCATAATGACATTTATAAACATTTTTTTCAACAAATTTTTATTATTGGCCAAAATTATGTGAAAGAATCGCTAAAAGAAAAAATATATATATATAAGTGTAGTTTTTTAAGTATGTTATTTTTTAATTAAAATTAGACTAATGTACAAACAATCTTAAATATAAATTTTTATTAGAATAAAATTTTAGTTTTGATTAAAAGTAATACAAAATATATAAAGAATTACACTTAAATTTTATCTTTCAATAAATTGTGAATGTTTTACATGCATAAATTTGTAAAATTAATTAAAAATATATAATAAAATGTGTTATTAACCTTTTTTAAAAGAATAATAATGTATTATATATGTATTTTTTATGTTATTTAACAATAAAATTAGAATTTTATTACAGTAATAAATATAAAAAATCCATATTAGAAGTTAGAATTAAGGAATGTGAAATTTCAATTTAAATAAGAACATAAAAAACATGGAAGACATTCAATGTAAGTATTTTCCTTTACAAAAAGTTAAACATCCATGGAATTTTGACAAGGGTGAGGCATGCAAGTACTTAACAATGGATCCGATATGAAGCTGTTCTTGCTGCCATGGAACTGATGGTGCACATCATAGTTATTAATTAAGCAGTGTTCTTATAGAAAGGCTTGTGGAGTCATCCACAGTTTTAATGGTTGCGAAGGAGAAGAAGAAGACTGTGACATGTGGAGTCATAGCAGAAGCATGGAAAGACAAATTAGCCCCACCGACATTGCCAAGAAGAAACCCCTCAGTAGGGCTATTCTGGAGAAATTCAAAAGAATCCTCCAAAAAGAATAAGGCACTACAACCATATGGCAATGAACCATTTTAGTGCTGAAGCAGAAGAGGATGAAAAACATTCTGATTGGTAGTGTTTTTCTTATCACCACCTGTCACTTATACAATACCAAGGACCAAATTGAGATTTCACCATCTATATGCAGTCATAATTTTCAAACATTTTTGACGTACTAATATAAAACATAAAACTATCCACATATTTAGTGAGTGATGAATATATTTTATCAAAAGCCAGAAAGAAGCTATCTCTGCATCATTTTGATTTTTGGTTTTGCTACCATCTATTCTTATAGTTAACTTTAAGTAATTAAGCAAAAATAAACGTTTTAATAAAAAAAATTCTACTTTTAATTTAAAAAACTTTGATTGTTAATACTTACTGTTAAAATATAAAGTTTTACATCAGTGGGTTACAAACATGTAAAAGAGTACATAAAAAATTTTACTCTAAAATTACTTAAAGCATTTTAGACAAAGATGTTTCTCAAGCTAAAGCAATATACTAAGAAAAAGAAAAACATAAGATAAGTTAAGACACTTTCTCACCATTAAATTGAGTATATATTAAAAATATTATATGATACCAAAGCTCAAATTTAAAAACAAAAAAATATGAAAATCTCAAATGAACAAAAAAAGTTGAAAAAAAAATAGACTTGTAGCATTAAAAAAATGTGTTCAAACTTAAGCGATAAAAATTCCAATAAAAACTTGAAGTTACAAGTTCACACTAATAAAAAAATTAAAAAAAAATGCAAGTTTCAATCAGCTCAAACTTAAGATTTTAATATGGGTTCAATCTAACAGCGAAGGAAAGTGTTTATATTATAAGTTTGAAAGACATTTTATCAAAAATAATTAAACAATTTTATATTGAAGTTCCATTGCTTA